GTTTGAGATAAAATTTATATGATAAAAGAACATCACATATCAGAACCAAAAATTAATTGTACTATAATTTGGATTCATTAGTAAAGTCTACCCCATTAAGCTTTAAAGACGCCTAGGATATGAATAAATCAGAGAAGGAGACAGTGAATATCATTCAATATCTTATTTTATTAATATTTGATTGGTCAATTAACAAACTTTAGACCAAAAAAAGGGGTCAACACGTCATTCATTTTTTACTTCATAAAATTTTAAATATACTTGAATCAAATTGTACAACTGTATTATAGTATAGTTTAGGGGTAAATTACATGTTATACTTTTATTTTTATCTATCTCCCTTTTTTAATAAATCTCCTTATAAGCGATAAAGTAGACAATGCAAAAAAGTAACACTAAAACAAAGTTGAATAACTTAAAAATTATAAATTTTTTTTACTAACACAAAAAAAAGTATAAGGCGTAAATTTAAAATATAAAACTACAGAAGAATATAGTATAATTTATCTTATAGTTTATTGTAATATATGTCTTGTAATAATTTTTTGTTACATCATAAATGCATTTTACATATTTTTCTAAATTTTCTGACATTTAAGGATTTGCATCAAAATTAAGAAAAATATTGATATTTAAATTTAATTTTTTTTAATTTGTGCAACATTACATAGATTACGATGTTATATATGATTTTTTTTTATTATTAAAAATGGTAAGATTTTAACAGTACTAATGCATTAACTTCATTGAATTCTATAATTTTTTATAAAAAAAATTGTATATAACTTCTTATCTTATACAATATTGTATAAGTTAAAAGAATTCTAAATTTTATTAAAAAAATATTACTTAACTTCCTTAGAATATCTTTCATCTATTAATAATTAATATCTCACTTGTTTATTATTCTCTACCAAATAAACATTAATTATTAATAATATTATAAAATATATTAATTATTCATTAATTTTATAAATAAAAATACAAAAAATCAAAGTTTCAAAGAGAAAGAAAACAGAAAAAAGTATTATAAAAGATAAAACTTAAGTGTAACATTATAAGTATTTTTTATACTATATTTTAGTTAAAAATTAAAATTCCACTTCAGTAATTTCAACAACTTGAAAGAGATTAATCCTAAATTATCAATTGAGAATATTAAATAAAAATAAAATAAAATTCAACCTTGATTAATAAAGATCAAGCGGAAGTGTGACTCAGTTTATGATCCAGTGTCAATTAACCATTGGAGTAATGCTTTGATAGTACAAAAAATTTAAGGCTTCGAATCTGCACTAAAGTAGTTTCGCATACTTTAAACGTGGGACGGTCTCAAGGATATTACAGCAGCCAACCAAACAATACGAAGAAAATAACATTTATCAATACCTTTATTCCTCTCCATTTCTCAATTTTACATGATACCATATAAAAAATATAATTAATATTGTGTTAAAATTATTCTTAACTTCGAAATATGACATGCATTAACACTTTTCTTTTATTTGTTATAATATGTTAAAAAATAAAGGAATAATTTAAAAGTAATAAATTGTCATAATCTTTTTAAAATAAATGAGAACAAAACTTCCTTTGGAAAATAGGTATTTAAACACAGAAATAATTTCTTATCATTTGGAATAATAGAACAAAAATCTTGCGGTAGACAAACAAATTCAGTTTCGCTAAAACCAATATTCGTATACAATCTAATCGAAATAGACATTTCACTTCTAATAATGATGAAGAATTGATGCCCAGTCGTGATAAATATTATTAAAAAAATGGAAATGATATTTTTTCTTGAAACAATTATTTAAATATTTTTTAATATTAAGGTTGTGATTTGAACTACAGCGGAAAGAAAAAGTGATTTTGAACTCCTTGAAAAATAATAACATAAACTGATCCTGGGCGAATAAGTCTCAATCAATAATGTCCCAGCAGCTAGCATAATCTCAGGGTATGGTTACATTTGAATTTGACATAAAAACATTGTTGGTGAAGACTTTGATTGCATGGAAAGTATTGCTGAGATGCAAGCGGTGTTGCTCAGATATCTGAGATGCCAACACACATCCACATCAATCACTAATTCACAATATGCACACTCTGTGTCCTGTGGGTGATATATTGTCTAAAGTTGCTTGTTCTACCAAATGTCACCAAATTGATGGGATATATAACAAATTTCACATCCTAATTTTTACCAATATTCAGCACTCACAAAAGGGTTGTGTTTTTCTACAGTAAATTTCCAAAACAAAAGTTCAAGTAAAATAATAAGTGGAAGTGGGTGAAAGTGTGAGGAATAAGTGTTGGTGTGATTTAGTGCTCTTCTTGAAGAAAGATTAATGATTAATAAAAAATTTGAACAGTGTAAAATATAATTTAAGGTAAACGCGTATGGATGATATTAAGGGCATGCAATGGAAGTAAGTTAGGTGAGTGGCTCAAGTGTAGATATGGACCGCCGACCACCTGATAATCTAATCAGACTTTATTCCGATTTTATGCCATGAAAGCCGAATGCGTGATTCACATGCACTTTGACAATTATCATCTCTCTCTTTTACACCCATAATGTCAATATCACACTCCTTGTTAAACACTTTTACTTTCAACCCTTTTCCCCAATATATATATTTACACCTTAAGAAATACAATTTTTTTATTTTCAGAACTCTAACATTTGCTATGTGAATTATTGGTCGCATATATAGAAGGAACCATATACATTGAATGGCATCTTCCAGAGTGTTGTTTTCCTTTTCTCGCGGAATTTCAATTTCTAATGAACACGATCTATGGTTTTATGCCTCCTTAATTTCTCATCAATTGATTACACTTCATCCCTTCAAATAGTGTTGTGTTTATGAAATACATCAAGTATGTCTATACACCATCTTATAATAAAACATAATTAATATTACGATAAAAAAAATCATTTTCTAATGACAAAGTTATATTAATATCAAATTTGTTTTAGAATACTTAAATTATTAATGTAAATATCACGAATCTATCCTACTACTGTTGATATTAACATAATTATTTATTAATGTAATATATCATTCCATTAAAATAAGCGCATAATGTTAATTTAGTATAGTTAAATTCCTTTTAAACAAAGATTACATGAATAAAGACTAATTTAGAACTAAAATATTAATATATAATATATCATGTTGCTATATTTGATGGCAAATATAAGGCAAGTAGTGAATCTAATATGGATTGATAAAAATTAGAACAATATAACGCAAATGTTAATCATAATTGTGAAAAGTTAAAAACAATGTTTATGTTTAATTACAATAAATAAATACCAAAAAGGCATAATATAGTTGATAGACAGTTTACTTCTTATTATGTTGATTAGGGTCCGAGTTTTGGAAACTTAAATAAAAAGGATTTTATAGAGACCCAATTTACTTATTTGATTTGTGTCTCGAAGGAAATTGCCTCTAGCTATAAGTTGGGGATACCTTTGGTATAAAAAAGTTAAACTTAATTAAACTTTAGTTCTTTTAATTTAATATGTTTTTTTTAATTAAGCAAATTTAGCTTTTTTCAATCTTCTTCTACTTAAAATCCTCCTCTTATCATTGTTTACTCAATCTTTACAAATTCTTCAAACATTATCGTTGTTTTACTAAAACTATATTTTTAAAACTTTTTAAATTATTTCATATCTTAAACTCATCACAAGCTCCAAATATTTAGATAAAAATGAAAAAAAAAATTCAAAAATTGGCAAAGAAGCAAAATTTATTTAATTTTGAAAATATAAGATTGACTTTTAAATTATGACTCATGGTGTTAATCTCTATGTGTAGATTAGTGTTAACTTTTATTCTGAAATTTCTACAGATGATATTTTGATTTTTCTTCCCATTTTTCTTTTTGGGTTACCAATTTTCTTTCCCACTTAGTTTTGTGGCCCAAAATCTGTTTCAAATTTTAGAATCCTGCCCATTGTAGCATACCCTGGACCAAAATTATGAAGCATGAACGGTCATATAATAATTTCTTAATTTTACGATAACAACTTTTCAGGCCCAGTATTGTGAGCCTGATACAACACTTAATCGGTGTTGTTCTACACGTAAGTATATATAGTGACCATTTTTTATTGACCAAAAAAATGACCAATTTTGTTTTTCACAACCAAGATTTTTATATGGCCAACAAAAAATATTCCTTTATATTTATACTAACTGTATGTGTATCATATTTATTACAGTATATAACTTTTTTTATATAATAATATAAAAAGAGTAGAAAAAGCATTTTTCTAATAAATTTCATTAAAAAAGTATATCCAAAAAAGCACTATGTTGCCACCGTCATGTATTTCGTTAGTCAGCCAAACAACGATATCTATACACATTAATGTTCTAAAAGTTACCACACTTGAAAATCAAACAATCTCTTATTGCACTATTTTGTTTTTTTACTAAAGATGTATGATTTTCAAATTTTTTAATATTCTCATAATATTCTCATAATATTCTCAAATTAATTATTTTTAACTTTGTATGTTAATTTTTTCCCTTCCTCTTTAAATTTCATCCACTTATTCTTTAAATTAATGACTTTCAAAAGTTCCTTTAGTTTTTTTTTTTTCAATAAAATCTCGCTTCCAATTCTCCATTATTTACACTCTTGAATTAGTTATTATACAAAAATGATTTTGTATAATAAAATAAATATACACTTTTAGGAGTAACTTAATATATTCTCCTTGAAAAATGACAAATTATTCTTTATCAACTAGAATTATACATGAAGCATCATGGTTGAATACGGATTACCTAAGAGTCAAGAACGAAGATTACAACCAAGTATAGAATCAAAACTAAGAAAAATATATTATCAAAGAATTAATTGAAAACTGAATAATATATGAAAAAAATATTAATCAACTAGAATTATACATGAAGCATCATAGTTGATGGGTTTTCTTCACTTAGTAAAATAAAGTAATAAACAACTGGTATTATATCCAACTCAATATAAAATACAATAAAGTTCCAAAAAGTGTCTAGAGTACGACTTATTCTGACATATGGATAATAGTATTCTGATCTATCGCCTCAAAGTATGCAGAATATACTCCGCATAAAGATCCCTGAAACAAATCATAGACAAAATATAATAGTAAGTGAAATGATTTAGATTGCAGATACTGCAATATTTGTGTGACATATACAAGGGTGAGGAATGGCCAAAAAAAAAGAAAATAGATAAGCATTATTCGCCATAAATTATGTCTCAAAAAGTCAATTTCAATAAGATACAAGAAGATTAAAAAAATAAATTTTAATTAACTGTTTGATAAGCTTAATCCTTATAAAAAATTTTGTTATGATATAATATCTACTTTTCTCTGAACTACTGATTTTAGTCTCTCTACGTGATGTAATCCAACCAAAAGTTGACATTTTGTAATATTTCAATAGACCATGTTAGTTAAAAGAATTTAAAACAATAGTTTGTAAAAAAATAAGGACTATATCTTATAGGAACTAAGTTCAAATTATATAATTTTTATTGGGACCAAACACTTAATTAAGCTAAAAAATAATTTAGTTGTGTATATTCACTTACATTGAGTATTGAATGGCTTCAACAGCAGTGGCTGCAGGTAAAAACTCATTAACTGCTACCTCCTTGTTCTCATTTTTCTTGTCTGATAAATATGTTAAGAAATGCACTCAAAAGTTTGAAGAACGTATAAATTAAGCTTAAAGAAACTTAGGCATCAAGTTATTAGACTGAGATTGTTAAGGATACAGTCTTCAAAGAAGCGTCGGATCTCAGAGAGGCGATGAGGTGGAAGTTCTTTGAAGTCAGTATAGTGTTTATATTCTGGATCATCAGCACAAACTGCAATAATTTTATCATCCTTCTCTCCCTGTGTCAATAGGACAAACTTGTTAGTGTGTAAATGGCTGGAACAAAATGGTAATTGTTTTATCTGCTAAGAAGACAACATTTTACCTGATCAATCATAGGCATCAATCCAATGGCCCTGGCTCGCAGGAAACAACCAGGAAGAACTGGCTCCTACCGCATAAGTAATTCAGTAAGTTTACAAATGGATAACCTTGTTGATACATAGCCAAAACATATTCATCAAGTTAATTATGAATCAGAAAAGTATGGCTCAATTTGAGTTTATTTGGCATTGTCTCTTGAATGAAGATGGAAAATTGAAAGATATTATAATTATGTGGCGATTAACTGAGGAATGAGGATTCAAAATTGATGTATGCTCGCTCAATATAAACCAAATATGTCAAAATTAAGCAGCAGCTTGTAATTTACTGATGATAAAATTTTAGCGTTATTATCCATTAAACAGTAATTAATGCCTCTTGTATAAGTTGGATGAATTTAAAATGGTAAGAATTTACCTGCATGAGAACCAAGACATCAAGTGGATCATTGTCTTCACATAGAGTTCGAGGAATAAAACCATAGTTATGAGGATAAACAACTGATGAATACAAAATCCGATCGACCTGATCATTATTTAGAAGAAGGTAAGAAGACTCTAATGATAGATGTGTAATGGAATGCAGAAGCTAGAATTGAAAAGGGCCAAGATTCAATAATCTACAACATTTGTAGAAAACAATACTCATTCTCCACCTCTTCCCCAAAAAGGAAAGAACAGAAAGAGATAAACTCCTTGTTCAAGTTTTTCCAATTGACCACCAACCCATCTTTTTGCTTTTGGTTGGTTAACAACTGGATAGGAAAATATCATCCGGACGAGATGGATTTCTATGTAAATTCTGTTTCAGAATATAGCAGTAGAGCTTCCATTTCAAATCAAGGAGGCGTTCAGTTCATACCTTAATTAATCCGGTTTTCTTGTCAAGTTCGTATTTGACCTTGCTTCCCTTAGTGATCTCCACAACCTGTAGGTAGCAACAAAGCATTGAACAAGCAGAAACAACATACCATAGTGGGAAATTTCTCATCATGAATGGAATTACAGGTTTTGGATAAATACGGTTAAAATGAAAATATAAGCTAATAACAGAGATTTCAAAATGTTAAAATATAGAAATAGAAAATCTTTAGAAGTGTAAGGGTAAGCAGAATGACAAATAAATCAGTATTTTTTTCAAGAAACAGAACTTACACAATTGAAAATACCGGGCGCTTCAGGTCCTGCACATGAAAATTAGCAACATTAACTAAACCTTTTTCAGGCATCGGCATTTGTCCTGGCCAAAAAGTGATTAAGCAATATGATTTAAGTCATCTAATGTTGAATAGAATGATAATGCACAAAATAATTAGGACAAGCCATATAGTCAAGAAGAGTACCAATTTCAAGATCATGCCAAGGGTGAGCAGCAACTGATCTCCTAGACAAAGATGAAAGAATCCTTTCATTCAAACGGGGAGCTGGACGGTTTTCTCGATTTTCTTCTGCATTCTCGCTCATCTTCAAATACATGACACAGAATAGCAAAACAAAACATTTTCATAAATCAATAAAAGTACAAATGTTTCAAGACTACAGAGATAGTTTTCAACAGACATAGAACCATCAAGCCAAGTATCTACTTAGTCCAAGTTTTACCAGTCATGGTCCATCACAACATGATTATGAACCAGTAGCAAGGCATACTCCAAACATCACAGTGGAATTATAGACCAAATTTTTGCACATTGCACATGTGAATCAACCCCAAAAAGCAAAGACTTTTTGCTTGATCATCTAATCACACTTTTTTATTATTGGATCTCAAAAAGGAGCCATTTTTTTATAGCAAAGAATTACTCATGGTTGCTTCAGTAACTCTGGCATTGTTGGTGCATTGATTAATGGAAAAAACCCAAAACAAAAATTGAAAGAAAGAGACTTTGTAACCATGACTAGAAAACCAGAAAAGATGACAGCTTGATGCATGAAACCAATGCCAAACATGAAATGAAAAGGACAGATTACAAGGCTTGAAACAAAGAAATAACAAACCTTGAAGAACAGCAAAAGCAAATACTCTGAAGAGATGGTGAAGGGTTGAGAAGAGAGATCCGACGAAGAAGGTTAGCTGTGTTGATATGTATATATAGGTCAAGGGAAGAACATGGTGAGTCAATTTACAACACTCCTCGTGTCTGTACAGGAGACAAGTCAGCTTACCACTACACCTGTTCTTTGGAACTTTCAAAAGACAATTTCTAGCCAATAAAAAACAAAACAAAACTTAAAATCAAAGCTATAATTGAAAAAAAAAAAAAGACATAATAGTTTCTTTTTATTAATGTCTTGCCATATTTTTTTAACAATCATTTAATTAAGAAAATAAAGTCAATTATTATTACTATTTTTAATCTTTTTAATTGTTTATTTTAAAAAATATTACATAAGTTAAAAAATATAATTAATATATTTGATTATATTAAAATTATTCTTAATTTTTAATGTTATGTTCATTAATATCATTTTTATTTTACAATTAAAATGTAAAACATTTAAAGTTAAGTGTACAAAATTAAATGATAATAATTAATATTATCTTATACTTTTAAAAAGACATGTAAATAAGAATAAAAAACTATTAAAACAAACATGCAAAATCAAATCAATAAAATCCTTTCAAATGTTTAGTTATAAAGAATAATAAATGTTATTATATAAATATATTTTTTCGAGTGTAGATATGAGACAATCATATTACAGTATTCGTAAATATGTTCATATTTACAAAATTTCGTAGGTAATTACTTTGTATCTATTAGGTAAAAATTCTTATTTTCTTTTACTTCTGTTGATACAAAGCATTGCGCTGTCACCCTTGAAAATATGTCAAAATCAATTATGAAAACTCAATTAATTATGATTATTAACTACATATGATGATTTAAAATTTTTTTATACAAAATATAACTGATTAATTCACATCAGAAAGGAGAAAACTAAGAACTTTCATTACATAAATTGTGAGTTTTCAAAAGAAAAGTGAGGTGTTTGAACTTTGAAGGAAATACTCCACTTAAAATTTCCAAGGGGCAGATAATAACATGGAAGAATATATGAACAAATATAAAAAATAACGATTAGGCTCAAGTGAGATTCATATTTGCAAGTTATATATAACAAATATATGACATGAAAGCCACCAATCCTCAAGAGTTTTGTAACTTGTGATGATCTCATAATATTTTAATATTCACGTTTAGTACACTTTTTATACACCCAATCACGTTCATGATATCTCAAATTGCACGTATGTATTTGTCTCTAGTCTTGGCTGTATAGTAGGTTGTGTTGAGGTCACAAATTGCATGCACGTTGTGACGGAAAATCACTTTTCGTTGCTTCAGGGAGATACGTTGAACATGCAACACACCAAATTAATTATTCACTCCATTCATATGAAACATTCAAATCAAGCACATGTTAACTCAAAGGGTTTACATATTGGTATAGGATTTTATTGTGTTTATACATATATGACTTGATCTATTTAAAAAATAATATATATTTAAAATTTATTGCCTACTGTAAACAAGAATTAGTCTTAATTAGTTATTTGAGTTATAAATAATATTCTCGTTAAGAGGTTAGCACTTGAAACTTAGAGTAATGCGCTTAGCTGATGGTTTGCTGGATTCATTTCTATGAGATGTGAAATGAACTTCTAATTGTTGATTGAATTAGCTAAACATCAACTTACCTATTTACGCATAGGTTAATAAGTAGCCTTTAAGTTTTGAAGCTGCAAACCAAATGAAAATAATTACTCATATCATAAATCAAAACAAGTAGCAGCCTATAACTTCATAATGCATAAACACAATTGACGCTGAAAATGATAAATCATAAAAACTACTTTTAGATTAATAAACACAAGTATAGGTTAATAAGTAGCCTTTAACTTCATAATGCAATCATAAATCATTTCTAACAAAATTACTCATATCTTTGCCCATAAAAACTACAACTTGACGCGGAAAATGATTCCCATACATACATAAATATCAAATAACTGCTGATTCAACTTTTTAAGAGGCAACTAACTATGTACTTGTTTATACAGAAATTAAGATGTTAGGATGTGGATGAGTACTTTATTATAGTTAGTAAAAGTGGTAACAAAGGTGTCTAACTCAAATTAGGTGGGTTCAATTCGAGCTTTGAATCTTATTGAGTTGGTTTAAAAAAAATCACTTCATATTTAAACTTTAAAATGTGTTTAAACTGAGATTAAACTCATACTTCACATTTAAGTAGATCAAATTAATTCAAATTTGATCAAGAAAATTAAAAATTAGTCAAGTTAAGTTTAAAATTTATATTTTAAGTCCAATATGTTAGCAAAATTGTGTGAATTGACATAGTTGGACTAATTCATTTCATCAGTTCTAATAGTTAGATAAAAACTAATAACAGAAAGGTAAAAACCATATATAAAACGTAATCCCAAGATTGGATACATGTAAATACTGTGTCAAATTATCTTGCTCGGCACCTTTTTTTTGTTACATTCTGTATTTTTTTTTCACTAAAATTAAGTCGATTTTTATTTGTCCACTGACCGTGCAAAATAGGCTGAACTTGCTTTAGTAATATATAGAGAAAAAAAAGTACAATTGAGATGTAAAAATATGACTTTTTTTTTTTGTCAAAATTTAAAAGTATATTTGACACGCCAAACTTTAGTAGAGACCCAAAAGCTTTACATAAGACGACACAAAAGACCCTCAAATTGTTGGCCAAAATAAAAAGACCCTCAAATTTAAACTATTGATTATGAGTTCATAAAAAAATAAAAAAACCTATTAATTATGGAAGCTGACCAATGTCCACGAAATGGCATGGGAGTTTCGTGAAGATGCTGCAATCAATCTATAGTAATTAAGGAAGATTGACTCATACCAAGTTTTTGAATTATTCTTAAATATACTTTAAAGTTATATTGAAATAAATATAAATTTATGATCGATCATAATTCACACTCAATCACTTTTGTTTTGATTAATTAATTAACTTGCTACATAAATATGCAAGTCTAAGATAGGTTTTCGTACTGCGCATATGCAGTTTGCTGTCTGGTATGAATCAACTTCCCATTTATTCTTGTTGTTTAAGGTCTATTACTCACGTGACTTTCTCCCATACACAACGTGCCATTCAATAGTTTGCTGCCACGCTATCTACACTTTTCATAGCCACATTAATTGGTCATATAGGCATTTAGACCATTTTAACGATGAATTTCAAATTAAAAGTGTTGAATTAGGAAAAAAATAATAAATTAAAATTTAATTATTGAAATTAACATAATAGTTTTTAAATACAACTGTAAAAGAGATCTTTTTTTTTTTTTAACAATAAGGATTAAAAAAAAATAAAGACGATCTATTATTAAAAAACAAACCGCACCCCGTGCTGCCAAAGAAACGATGACAGCCAAGAGGAGGGGGTTGAAATTATAAATGCATGTTTTTGTCTTATATAATATGTGAAAACTAATCAAGCACACCTTAAAAAATTTTGGATTGAAAGTTTAATAATTTTATAATTTATTACACATGTATCATACTATATTATAATCTCAACCATTAAATTTTTTAATTAATTAATAATTACAAGTATACTTTAATATATCACGAACCCCTCTTCGCTTCTACTTGGATGGAATAATACTGTAAGGAAAAAGAAAATACAAAATTAGATCTAATCGAAACTGAAAATAAGATAAGATTAGATCAAAGGGAAAAACCTAAAAATTCAAATTGATAACTTTATATTCAAATTTAATTTAACAATCTAAATTTCCCAACTCATTAAATAATAATTAAACCCATTTAAGACCCTTTTTCAATTAAAAAAACTAAACCAGTCAATCAATATTATTATGCTTGCGATAGAAATAAAAGTAGAAATAGAAACGGTCCAAGGTGGCAAGCAAAGCAATATCCAAACATAAGATCAAATCAAACAAATCAGCGTTAACATAAAAAAATTGGAAATAAATGAATAAAGAAGGAATCAATGAAAACAAAGGCCGTTGGTAAGAGTGAGAAAGAGAAAAGAGAGAGTTGGTCCACTCGCCACTCACTCCATTCGCTCAAAGCTCAAGTCTGCATTCAGCGTCGTTTCCCCACACCCAATAAACGATTCATACAAAGTTGGAATCTTTTGAGCAATAACGTTAACCCCATTAACGTTTTCGTTTTGGTTGATGGGTGCATCATACATAGGTGAGTTTTAGTTTTGGGTGATGGAGTTGGGAGGGGTTCGGTTGATCGGGGATTACATATTGGGTCCTCGAATCGGGTCGGGTTCGTTTGCGGTGGTGTGGCATTCAAGGCATCGACACTCGGGTTTGGAGGTTGCGGTTAAGGAGATTGATAAGAGACAACTCAGTTCCAAAGTCAGAGACAATCTTCTCAAAGAGATTTCTATTCTCAGCACAATCCATCACCCCAACATCATTCGACTCTTCGAAGCTATTCAGGTAACATAGCTTAGTTAGTTAGTTAGTTAATTAGGTAACCTTAACTTGTGTGTTTGTTTTTTAGTCACTTTTTTGTTGTTGTTATTGTTGTTTCAAAGAAGAACAATTAATGACTGTGTGTGTGTGTGTTTTAAGACCGATGACAGGATTTACCTTGTTTTGGAGTATTGTGGTGGTGGGGACCTTGCTGCTTACATTCATCGCCATGGCAAAGTTTCTGAACCCGTTGCTCGCCATTTCATGAGGCAATTGGGTGAGTGCACTTCAATCATATGCTGTTCTCTATGAAGTGAAGTGAAATGAATCCTCAATTTCACAAACCCACTTGTTAATTTCCACCTTTCAGGGTGGACTAGTTTAGTATTCTATAGGATGTATTGCTATGAATTGAAAAGAAAAGAAAGATACTTGCAGCGATATAGCATGCTACTGACTACATTAGGATTTTCCAATTCGTTTGTATTTTGTCAACGGTTTGGTAGTTCCACTTGTTCAAACTTGGTATTATTTCCATCCTCCGATGTGCTTTGTGCTGCATGCTTGTGCAAATTGGTAGACAATGTATAATTTTTTATCCTTTTTAATCTGGGTGTTCTTGCAGCTGCTGGTTTGCAGGTGCTTCATGAAAAAAACCTCATTCATAGAGATTTAAAACCACAGGTATTTAGTTATAGACTTTTCAGGGTACTTACTCGTATATTTGTCTTGGTATATCTTAATTGATTGTCATTGACTCCCTGTCAATGATTGCATTAGCTTGTCAGGAAACTTTGCTTCTTTGCTTCTTTTCTTCGAGATTTGCACACCAAGGAGGGTAAATGTACAAGTTTTAATATTATCATTTTTCCCTATACTATCAATTTATCATAGCTTCATACGTACAGTAAAATGTATATTTAGGTAAATAACATGCTGAGCCGAACATGTCCACTGAGAAAAAGTAAATACAAGAAGGAGTAATTGGTAGTTACCTTTTGATACTTTGATTTTTGGGGAGTACTGAAAGAATAAATCATTTACATGACTACTATTACCCTCTAGATGAGTGGGATTCCCCTTGGTTCAGAAATGGTGATGAGTATGTACTTTATTGTATAATTGTTTTAGTTGCTGTAGCACATATAGTAATTCTTTCATGTTTGAATTTATTATTATTATTGTTTTAAACATGCAGAACTTACTATTGGCAACTAATGCAGCTATACCAATTATGAAAATAGGGGATTTTGGTTTTGCAAGGTAAGATGGTTCCAGAGGAGGTTATGCTAATCAAACACTTCTCCCCTCCTTTATTGCTGCCATAAGCCAGAGTGACTTGTTTCTTCTTTCGTCTTGTTTACTTGTTTTTGGAGATGTTATTTCTTGCCTTTTTTGGTAATACAATTTTATAGTGCGAGCTATTAATATAACAGTGTCTCTGCTTGTAGATGCTTATTTCATTAGATCTAAACAATTCATTATCTCCCTCTCATTTTATATGAAAAGTATTCAAATGGTCAGCACATGTTTGATAATTTTTATCTCTCATCTGGTTGAAACAAAAATAAGATATTAGAAAAGAGTTGTATTTCTTGCATTAGGTAGTCTCCTGATGTATTGTTGCACTAGGTCTCTTACACCCTGGGGGTTGGCAGATACGCTATGTGGTTCACCTTATTACATGGCTCCAGAGATAATAAACTGTCAACAGTATGGTGCCAAGGTGACAAAAAATAGAACTGAGATCAAATTGTAGTTACTCATAAATGTTCATTTTCATTATTTTTTTGTAGAAGTATTAAGATACTATTTTGGATGCAGGCTGATTTATGGAGTGTTGGGGCAATATTGTATCAGCTGGTGATTGGGAGGCCGCCATTTGATGGAAATAGTCAATTGCAGGTTTTGAAGATGCTAAATTACAATAATGCTTTTTCTTTTATCCATTTTTTAAATGGAAGATGATAGTTATGTATCTTTTTTTTTTTTTTTCGCTTAAATAGTTATGCATCTTTCTTTTTACTGAATATAAATTTTTGTTGCAGCTTTTTCAAAATATTTTGGCATCCACTGAGCTGCACTTTCCGCCAGAGGCTTTAAAAGAGCTACATTCTGATTGCTTGGATCTTTGCAGAAACCTTCTACGTCGAAACCCAGGTATTTATTAGAAACTATATGTCATGTACATTGTGCATGTGTTTATTCTGTTGCAATGCTTTGTGAATGTATAAAAATGATGGGTCTGAGGTTAAAATATTGTCGTACATGTAATTTTAGTGACAATCAGAGCTCATGTAGCGAACTTTTGTAAAGTTAACTGTAATGTGCAGATGAGAGATTAACATTCATGGCTTTCTTCAATCACAATTTCCTACAGGAATCCAGGTCACAATTTTTTCTCTAATTTCTTTTTTCTGTAGTTCTTGTATCACCATTGCATTTTCTTTCCATTTTGTGGCTGTTTTTAGTAATCTCCTATGATTCATAACTTATAGGTCAACTGTGAATTTTGAGCAGTTTCAATTACATCAATCAGAAAAATCAGTGGTTCATCAATTAGGTGGTTCTGCCTCTGAGAAGGTGTCTCAAACCCATTCTGATTGTCATATTGAGTCATTTTTAGATGATCCAGTGGTAGTCAGTTCAGCCATATATGGGACTATGCTGTCACAAAGAAAGGATGGCAAGATCATAGCTGACACAAAGAGTGTTAAAGGTTCAATCCCAACTATTTCAAGGGATAAACTGGGGAAGTCTGTTGATGCTGGTGCTCATTTGTCAAACCAACCCCAAAGTCCAATACTCTCTGAATACTGTTCTGCATTTTTTTCCCATCCCGAGGTCTAATACCCTCTGAATGTTGTCTAATCCTCTTTTTTTTTTTTTTTTCAGTTTCCCGTTTAATGAAGTCCATTGAAAGAGATTATGTCATTGTCGATTCTCATTTTGCATCATTGGAGGCTTTCTCTGACTACTTTGAGGCATCTGTGCAAGATAACACCTCAAGCATGACTTCTATATTTCCTTTAAAGAGGACTAACCTGGAGATTGATGTTGCTTTGCAACCAAAGGATCAGTCATCTTCCTCAACTGGCAGATTGGAAAATTTAGAAGGCAATGAACATGGGGCATCAGTGGCATCCTCTGAATTTGCCTCCTTAAGGAGAGAGCAGGGAAGTTCCTCACTTCACCTTTCAAACAGGTTAGAGTTATTGCATCAGTATGTGCAGACCCTTGCAGAACTTTCACAAAAAAAGGTACGTTTGTGTCATTCAGTAGATCAAAGATCATTGTGTTAAAATTTTTGTTGATTAGTTTATTTAAAAATAAAAATAAAAAATCATCATTGACATTGGTTGTGTCTAACTGTGCAGTTTAATGTAACACCTTTGATGTTTTTTCTTCTGTTCCTTTCTTTGTCCTCATATGAATTTCATACTCTATTATTTTGCACGTCAGAACAATAAGCCAGCTGTGTTTGCTTAAATTATTTTAACTATTACTAGTAATTTCCCAACTGGATTCCTTTGTTTGCTGTGGCTTGCGTAAGTATTGTGAGTGTATACTTCATAGTCTAGTCTAATACTACGGGCTGAATGCTTAATCAGTATATCTATTCTATTATCACGTTAATTTCAGATGGTTGAGTGAAAAAATGTGGCATATCCACCTATGCTGGATATATCTTTCTATCAATGTCTCCTCTCACTTTGTTAATTTTAATGGTTATTTCGTGCAGTGTAATTCAGGACTGTATCTTGAGTCACTTGCAATTGAGTTGGTGGTTTTGGCTATGTGGAAGAAAGCTCTTGAAATTTGTAGCTCTTGGGTAGTTTCCATTACCGAGGGTCAGTTGCCTACAAGCAGTTCAGCTAATGAATCCGCATTTGACCGCAGAGATGTGGGGTTATCACTGACAGATTTTAGAGATCATCCTTCTGTTTTCTTGTGGGCCAAACACGAGTTTATTGTTGCTGTTGATCGTGCTGAAAGACTGTCATATCATATTAAAAGTATGGATGGTAAGACTTCTTTTGTTTCTAAACTCAATCTTTCTTAGTATCTTAAAAATTTGTCTGAACTGTGTACTCCAAAACCTTATTGCAGGGGCAGCTGAGATGCCAGATGCAATGGAAATTATATTCCAAAGAGCACTCTTATTCGGGACCAGTGGCGCTGTATGTAGACTAAAATTGTTCACTATTCATTTTTATCTGAACCTACTACTCTTCCACAAGGGCATGTAGACAGGTCATTGATATAAATTAATCAGCACTTGCCTAAGTAGTTTTTTTTTTTTTTTTTGAAGGTGGATGAATTGATGGAGAACAAAGATAGGGCCGTTGCATCTTACTCAAAAGCAATGCTTTTACTTTCTTTTATTGTGGGAGAAGCAGAGAACCTTCCACTGAACCCACCATTTTCCCTTCCTGCTGCTGATAAGGAGCGAATCTTGCAATATATTCGCTACTTGCAGTCTCATAAAAAATCTTCATCAGAGGCCTCTACAAAAGGAGCCCATACTCTCTTATCAAAGTAAATAACCGGCTGTATATAGTAGTCTTTGCAACACCGTTTATTGGAATTGGTGAAGCAATTTTTTGCTGACATGAATGTTGACTTCATATGAATGTGGACGAGAGACAGCCTGACTGATACCGTATTGTACATAGATTTATATAACTATCATGGCTTTGTAGATGGACTGGACTTTACTGCATATGTTATGTATATAATATCGTTAATTCTTTGACTTGGAATTTTTGAAAAGTGTATAGGATCAATGAATTGTAAAAACAATTATCAAAGTATTTCAAAAATGGGATGCAAATGGATTATTTTAATGAAAATTGTCATAATTTCAGTACTGGGACACACCAAAGCGTAAACCGTGTCCAGTCAGAGCCTATTTGTTTGCATTTGTTTCTCACCGCAACCGTACTGAATTTGGCTTCCTAATGCACAAAAAGTAAAAGGAAGAAATTGTTCCGTAGGTAAAACGCCTGTGGTAGTGGAAACATAAACGGGCTTAGTTACTACAAGCAATTTAAACCTGTTACTATTTCAATATTTATCACTGATTTTCTTTGCAAAATAGAGTTTGGTGAAAAAGAATTAATACGAACTGAAGTGATAAATATAGAAAGTCAATATATATCATACAAAAGAAAATTTAGGATTGAGAATCATAACTTCACTCTATCAAGGCAGCAGTCAAACTTCGAAGCCTAAAAAGGAAAAACGAAAAATCACTTTCGTGACATTCAATGTAATGCAACCTGTCATGAACACAGGCATATAAAATTTTGTTCAATCTGAGCAGAGCTTTTATAAGAGTAAAAATAGTTCCTAGATAGATGCAAAACGATAACTAGTAAAACTTGGAAAGTGGCTGAATGAAGGATCATAAATTACTTAATGTTCATGGCTCAAACAATACTTAATGTATCTTATCTAAGTCTATTTAGCGGAGTTTTTAACAGCATTAACATCAGTCCAAGATAGTAAAAGAGTACACAGTAATTTAATATGGTACACACATCTACACGACAAGTTTCGTGAGCTGCAGAATTAGAAATAAACAATATAAGTACACCGTTGTGGGAGATTAAGAATGACGTGCAAAACCTTTATGTGGTTGCATGCATGTATCGAGCCTTAAATTGAAGCCTCCCCTTCCAAGCGTATTCTCTTACAACCTTTCTCTTCACCTTGATTGCCGGTCGTTCCAACCCTGTTTTCATTGGCCTCCACGGAACACCTTTTGTAGGGCTTAAAGCCTGTTCGACGAGTCTTAAGCTTTCCTTGTCCCAGCCCTATGGTTAGCAGTCCCTCCTCGTTATTTTCTACAAATGGCGAGTTTTTTTGCACTTCTTCATAATTGGAACTGCATTTCTTGCTGTCAAGGTCTTCATCTATGTTTTGCTTGTTATCCTTGATGTTTTCCACTTGATGATCTGCATTCTTCAAATCATGGGGAGGTGAAAAGCTTTGAGGCAACACTTCTCTGGAGAATAGAGCTTGAAAGGCCAGTCGCCCCTGAAAATAAGTGGCATGAGAAAAGAAGCTACACATGCAAGCATTGTAATAAAATTTCATTACAAGTAACTGGGATACCTCTTCAGAGACCTCCTTCCAAGAATCAGTCAGGTTGCTAACGCTTCTACTACGACGATTACAAGACTCAATGGCTAAATGATTAGCATCAGGTGTTTCAGGCTCTTCTTTTCTTTTTTCATCCTTCTCTAATGCATCAGTTTCCACATCGCTGCTAGAGGTTGTGTTGGAACCACATGAGGAACGGTCAACCTGTTGTCTGCCCTTCATTTTGTTGGAATCAAGGTGCTCGGAAATTGTTTTGTTCATCTCATGATCAGTAGCTTTTGATGTATTTAACTTGGCATCTCCACTCTCAGAATCTGATGAAATGACAGCTGGTGACTTTGAAGCTGAATGTTGAGCTTGCTGGGCTTCCGAGTATTCTGGAAACATCATCTGATCTTGCTGAGGAGGATTTTGTAGAGTAGTCTTTCCTTGGTCTGTCTTTGATGCCGGTGCTTCACTACCAGTATTATTCATTGATGGAACTGCAGTCACTGATGCAGGAGGACAGGCAAAAGCAGTATGAAGAGCACACAAAGGAAGCAATCCATGAGCTGCCCACCATGCAGTTGCAGCAGCAACAGTAGCAGCTGCAATAGCTGCAACGCTTGGAGGAGAGCCAATTTGTCTAGGTGGAAAACCTCCTTGGGAGCACCTAGGAGAATCTGCTGGAGTTTCTGGATTTGCATAGGGCCAAAATGTAGCAGCAAAACTAGCTGCAGCATGGGCTGCAGGGTTTTGCAGCAAGGTTGAGACAATAAGGCTTGAAAATGTGGAGGACATGTGAAGAAATGATTGGTAATCATCCTGATTATGTTGTGGGAAGGGAGGATAAGGAAGAAATGATTGATGAACAGAAGATCGTGCTGTGTTGTTTTGACTTTCACTAGTGTTCGATGCAGCTGAATTGGTAAAAAGATTAGGTTGCCCATTAACCCCTCCTATTGGCTGAAACATGGAGTCTCTAAACAACATGTCTTGTGGATTTTGAGTACGCGTTCCTAGATTCCCGTCAATAACGTGCACAGTAACATGCCTTGGGTAATTCTGATTGCCTTGCATCCCATCTATTGTTAATGCACAATCAAGACCATCTGTGTTCTCATTTTGAACCAATTTCACCTGTAAAGCATCAGAATTGTCTAACGTGGAGTCTTCACTAGTGCCATTAGTCTGTTTTCCATTATCGGTCTCCAACTTCCGATTCTCAAGTTCAATAGTGACGAACGATTCATTTCTTTCATTTCGTGCTATTGCCTCTTTCGCTGAAGGTGTAATATCCTTTAAGGCGCGTGAATTCCCTAGCGGCACTGACATTGTTATAGAACTCTTGTTTGCGGAAGATACAGAGGAACAAGGCACCTCCCGGAGAACAGTAAATACTTTTGAACGCTTTTCATCCTTATTTTCTTTTACAGTTGTTGGCACTTCATCTAAATTATGTTTCTAATAATAAAATAAGGAACAAGCTGAATCATTTCACTGAAAGAGAAAACTGAAAAACTAAATTGTGCGAAAAGTGAAATATAAAATATAAAGGAAATATTAACCTCCGGAAGTGGTTCTTTCTCCAAGTCCAGTGCTTGGTTAACGTGTGAAGATTCAACTGAACTGAGTTTTGCATCCTTTGCTCCACTCTGTAATGTTGCGGTACCAACCCTGGTCTTCCGAGGATAAGGATTGCTCGGTTTTCTCTTTGGCCGTGGAGGGGGAATGTCTATATCAAGGGCCTTTCCAATTGGAACACCCTTTACAAGGGCCTCTTTCTCCAACTGGAAGTAAAAGTTGTGATAGCATTCTCAGCAAGTGAAGTTTCAGAAAAATCAATAAAAGAACTTACTGGAGTACTAGGGAGTTTATTCTTATGCAGAATTTCCAAAATACTTTTTGGAAAATAGATATAGCTGTAACACAGACATTTCAGTGTATTCAAGCACAAAATCTTAGAAAAGAAAACATCTAGGAAATTCTTCGATCAAGTTGAAGGGGGAAAAAATCACCTGTGGTTGTAATCAAGATGCATATGGATTTGGTGGGCTGGAAACTGATTGTAGTAGGAAGCTATTGACATGACAAAAACACCACACAAACTACATTGATGGTAGCAGTTCTATGAAACAAGAGAGGTCAATTAAAAGTCCCCAAAAATTTGAAGAAGCCACCACTTTTAACTTGCACACAAACACATCCAAGAGATTTTTGATAAGTTTGACTTAAACACTAGCTTATGATCTTAGAAAACTAGCACAAAATATTTACTAAATCACTAATCCTTTTTCGAGGAAATTAATCTCACATGTTTCAATATGAAGTTATTTTTTATTACTGGTGTTTGAAGCGGCAGAAAACCAAACATACATTGTCTGAACAAGCTCATTCATTTCGTTGGACATTCCTACCTAGGTAACCAAAGTCTTTGTTTGTTACTTTACTTTACGTCATTTCTAAAAGTCATTATATTTTTTGAAAATGTTTACCAGCACAAGTTTTTAAGACTTAATACATCTCTATTATTCCATCTGGTCGTTCTTATTGCATCTATGATAAAGCAAATGACCATAATATTGTTCCAACTTCCACCAGCCCCAAAAGTCACCTCATCATTACATTTCTCTCCTTAAAAATTGTGTCATCTTCATTCAGTCACTTCTTTCATATCTAATATAAAAAGTATACTACTTCCCTTCAGTGAAGTTTTGATTCTTTTCCATGGAAAGATTGAAACGGCAGCAAGTATCTCCAAGAATTAAATATATATCAAAATCAGTTGAATTAATACCTGTTTTCAGTTCTTTCCTAAACTTCAATGCATTACCTAGAATCAATTCATAGGAGTTTATTGTTTCCCCTTCCATTTTCTCCCAGTAAACAAGTGACATTGACTTGTCGAAATCCTCCTAATGCCATGTGGAATTTGAATAGCACATAAAGATACCTACTAATTGGAACAAAAAGTGGAAAATCACCAAAAAATAAAGGAAAAAGAAAAGGTCAACTGACTCTGTCAAAAACCAAAAGAAATAAAAGAGTAACCAAAGCAACATTTCTCTATTATATTGTCAATGACAAAATCCTAAGGTGATATATTTTATACCCAAAAAGGACAAACGGAAAAATCTATACATCAGATCCTAGGGAAGATAGATCATAAGTTGTCTGTGAAACCTAAGAGCCTTGCTAGCAAGTGAAGCGATTAAGTTAAGAAAAGGTACTAGAATGAGAAACACAACCCTCCATATAACATGCACGGAGGTACTTAAACTAATAAACCAAATTAGTGAAGAGAATGTTCATTTTTTTTAAGGGTACACTACTATTCTTAGAATCAAATTATTCAATCAAGCATAACAGCTCAGTCAGCTCTCTGGTCCAAGCTTTGGTCCCAACCAAGACTTGGCTCTACTATGAACATTTATCTATATATATATATAATGTAAAAAAAAAAAAGATAGCATACTTTCACAAGAAGCATGCCATCCACCCCGCACTGACTTTCTAGGAACATGATCAGACACACTGTTCAGTGAGACTAAGGTAAGTGAATTAAGCATACAGATAAAATAGAAAATGCAACATAGAATAGAATCACCTGTCCTATTGTGTCCCGTTCTCACTTCAACAAATTGGGCCCCACCATTGTCAAATGCAAGACTTTCCATGGCTGCCATCCTCCCACAGATGCCCCATTGGAATGCCATTCAATCATCTAACATCATCTTTAACTGCCTAAGCCGATTTTTTTTGAAGTGGTTTGAGGAAATTAAGGCTTTGATTCCACTGCCTCTACAATGCGCACTGGTCTTTCCTTCATCTCTCTCAATTGTCATCCCTTAGTCCTTGGATCTTAAATTCTACTGCCACTAATCAAAATTTTGGTCATAAATCTCCATCCTCCAAAATTTGTCTCTAGCTATTTAACTACAATCACCTTGGCTAATGGAACCAAAAACACATCCTCCGCCTTGTTGACTGCATGTTTTATGATCAAATTTCCCCATTTATTTTGCTTTCCATTAACCATTATATTAATTCTCTTGACTAGACAATCTCTTTCACTATTTTTTTTCTGTTTTTCATGACTAAAGTTCTAGATGGATGATTGGCTCCATATGTAAGTCCAATTGCCTTTACAAGCTCTCCAACCTTTCTCATGCTTGTCTCATGAAGAATTCCCCTCCTCTAATTCATGCTCAATTGGATCGTCCTAGCCTTGCCAAACAAAAGAAATTAGTATGAAAGCCTATCCTAGTCTTAAGGTTGGGCCACCCACAAATGTCTTATCTTGCTAAATTTACTTTTCAAATGTTCAATCCTAAGTGTGAAGAATGTGTTCAGATCCACATCAGTTAGGGATATGGTCAAAATACTTTTAATAAATGACTTCGGCAATGCTAACTCCTTCAGCTTGCTTTTATAGTTAAGTTAGGTCTAGTTAGTTGATCATGTTTAATACATAGAATAAAACCGTATGTTCTATTGGCTCTTGTTCTAACACATCTATCAATGCACCCTACTTATTTACGCTGATTGTTTCTCACATACCATATAACAAGAAAGTAATACATGTTAGTAGCCTTTGCCTATAGCACTCGAACTGATCATTCTAGTCTATATGGTGATCCACAGGTTAGCAACATTGAATATGAAAGGAATGTTCTGTCAAATTATGTTAAGCCTTTGATTAATTCCTTCACTTAATTTTTAAAAAGTTTCTCTGTTTGGAAGAAAATTGTAGATTCCAGATTAGGGATAAATTACACATAATCATTTATTTGTTTTTAATTCCAAAAATTAAGAAACTTTGATTGAGCCCTGTAGGCTGTTTAGTAATAAGATCTATTAACAGTCCATCCAAATACACATGCTCTTTGGATTCACTTGGTCTTCCTTTTCTTAAATAATAAATTGAAAAAAGTGTTCCATTGATCCTTAAATGCTTTTACACTTTCCTCCGGAGGTAAAATCCTCTCCCAAATGTCACTTTTGTTTGAAAACGTATGTTCTATTCCGGAAAGTCCCATATTAGTCAGAGTCCATTCTCCTGGGTGGCCTTTCTTTTGGGCTGGATAATGTTCAAGTTGAACATGATGTCAAGGCTTTTGTTGATTCTTGGATCTCACAGGTAAGCCCATTCAAATTTAAGTATGCTTTGGGTTTTAATTTTCTAGGCCCTGTTTGAATTCCAAGTGGTATGGGTGGACAATTTGTTTACTACTACTCATAGCCTTGACATGAAATTCTACCCTATGCATGATAAATGGATACTAGCAAGCTTAAATAAAAAAAAGGGGGGGCTGGTTTGACCAAGATAATCAAATTGATTACTTGACCAAACCAGCCCCCCATCATCGAAGTGGGCAAATTCTTTTCCAAATGAGAGACAGATAAAACATTTAGACATGTACTATTCATCTTTAAACTAACAATAGCTTCTCTATTGAACTTCTAGTACTTAAAATATATAGCATTTAAGCTCTTCAATAAATTAGCATCCTAGTACTAATATGCAGGAATTTGGTCCTTTCTGTGTGGCAATGCATGACAGCATCCTAGTACTAGAATTCCAGCTACACTTTTGGGTTTGAACTTTGAAGTATTAACTTTCCTAACTATATATACCAATATCAAAACTTATGACCTAACAAATCTGAAATCCTTCAAATTAGTAAGTCTTTTTCAAAGAATCATTATTTATTTGGAAGGCAATAATTGTTCTGATCTATCAGGCTGTTACGCCCACAATCCATCTTAAAAATTCAACTCCAGCATCAAACATCACATGGTAGTCACTTCCAGTAGCAAACAATTTATTGTATCTTGAAACTTCAAAGTTACCAAAATGAGTACCGCACTCGTGGTGAATCAAACAATCGGCGCAACCTCCCCTAATAATGACTTATCTAAAAGCTCTTTATCTTCTAACACAGAAATCTACAATATAAATGTGTAAGCAAGTCTCATCATACTTTACTAAATGGGAATTTTTTTTAATTAAAAACAGAGGGCTTAAAATTACAAACCAAATCTGAGGAAATTTTCTCTAATATTCCAGAACTGGATTTGGTTAAGGGTAGTATACATGTCAATGAATAGAAAAACAGCCACAATCTTTTTTTATCACTGGCTATATAACCTTCCTCCAATTATGCTTCACCTTCAATTCCATTCAACTCTATTCAACCTCTGATTGATGGTATTGCAAGTGGCATAAATTTTCAGGAAGCCCTAAAGATACCCAATGTAAGTCAAATGACTATAGTTTACCTTCATATGGCCTCTTTGGTTTCATGTTATTTTGGTGCAAACGTGCATATCCTAGTGCCACACAGAGTAACTTTTCCTCAGAGACATGAGTTTACCAGATATTCAATGTGTGTCCTAATAATGTTGGGTAAAACAAACTCCTCCATAGTAATCAAGCAAACAGAGAAACACAAGAACACAAAAAGCTTAATCCAAGGCAAAACTGAAAACTTCTCTCCCCCTTGTGATTGGATCTATCTGAAAGTTTCAGTGTAAGTGCTAGTAAGCTATAGTGCTTCACCACAACACATGCAAATGCACTTTCTTTTTTGGCATTGTTAAGAACCAATTATTCCAAAAACTTAAATTGTTAGGTGAAGGCACATAAATGACCTTCTATATTAGATCACACCTTGAGCTAAAATTGAAGTTTTGTAGTTTCTCTAAAGTAGAATGAAGTATCAAACTCCAAACATGGTCATGGAAGCTCTAATATGTAATACCATAATAAGAACCTACTATCTCAAAAGCTTAAGTTTAGAGGTGAATCACAGTTATGATCTTCTATATTACATCTCCAGCAAACATGTACACACTCCATTAAAAGTTCAAAACTTAATTTGATGTTCCAATTTGTACCTTGTATAGTGATAATGCATATGAATACGTATTCTTCATGACATCTCACGGTATTTTTCACCAAACTTCATGTGCTCATACCCATTCACAAAATGGGTAGCTGAACGCAGACATAAACACCTTACTGAAACAGCTTGGTTTCTTTTACTCCATGCCAATGGACCTTTTCACTTTTGAGGTGATGTCCTTAATGGCCTAGACTGCTCAAAAATCAAATAGCAGGGCATTTTTCAATAGTGGCCATCACGGCCACAAAAGCAACCTTTTGCATGCTATTGCAGCACTACCACTATCAAGGTAGTCAAACTCAAAATGGAGATCCTAATTAGGATCAGCAAGGGGTATATACATTCTTTTAACATAAAAGGGATAATATTTTTTATTTAAATAATGATAACTTTACAAATCAATATCATTATCTCTATACATTCTTCTCTCCATTTTCTAGTGTTTAGTTTATTGGAATTTGGAATTACATTCCCTTTAATAGTTACTTTATTTTTTGCAGTCAACAACAACAACAACAATCAAGCTTTATTCCACAAGGTGAGGTCGGCTACATGGATTATATGATGTCATTATTGAGCTCAGTCAAAAATTAAATTTTCAGAAATTTAGTTCATCAAAAAGTTTCTTTCCATAACTTCATTTAATGTTCTTTTGAATCTCTCTTGATCTTTTTTTATTGGACTAAAAGTCATACAATTTACTTTTTTCATCGGTGTTGCACATGACCAAATTATTATAAACGATTTTCAGTCTTCTTTTTTACTATAATTGCTACTCTAATTTTCGCGTATATTATGATTTCATTTCATATCATGTCATTTCTTGTGCGACTACTCATCTACCTTCATATTCTTATTTTTGTCACTCTCACTTTTTTCACATGTTGTTCCTTTACCATATAAGACAATCAGTCATATTACAGTATGATTAGGTAACAAATAACTCCTGATTTATTTTTTTTTCATTTTAACCAACTAACTTGTATTCTATGAGTAAAATCTTCATTAACTTTCCCTTCATTTTGTATAATCAATCCTAAGTACCTAAACCTGAAAACTTGTTATATAATATCATCAATTTTAATTTCCAACGCATAATCTAGATCTTATTTTTTTTGCTAAACTTACAATACATACAATGATTGTATATCATCATTTACTAAACTTTGTTTTTTGCAGTCCCTTATATACAATAAAGTATCATCATTAAACAACCTCACAAGCCCTTTGACTCATCTTCGTAATTTTCTCAACAATTTTGGGTTCTAATAATGAAGAACTATATTTTCCATGACATTTGAATATCACCAATGAAGTTGTTTATTGAATTAGGACTTATGTTATGTTTTAAATTTGAAATCCATCAGTTCAGATACAGAACTATTTTGTGCAGTTAGATGGGAATTTACTCATTAAAGTGAATCAGAACTGACAAATGTATCAACACCAAGCCAAAAACAAGCACTAGTTAAAATAAAGGAACAAAATTTTAAACAGATAAACCAAGGTGAGAAGGTACCCATTGACCTTTGTAAAGAACTTCTGTGCATGGCTCCTGATTTGCACGGCAGTCTTTGTTCCTATATGCTCTGTACAGCGGAAGTAAAACACCAAAAAGAGGGCCAGACCATGGAAGAAAGAAAAAGATAGTTCCAGTTAAGAGTTAATCAAATATAGAGATCAGTTCATGTCATTTAATTACAGGATACTACACCAATCTTGAGAAAGAAAGAACAAGCGAAAATATTCAATCAGATGCAAGAAACAAACTATTACCTTCTATGCGCTGCCATGCTCGGCCATGTAGCTTCAAAGCTTCTAGAAACCTATTATGCTCCTCCTCTGTCCATCGTTCTCTTTGCTTCGTGATTGTGTATGGTTTTCTCGTCTGCAATTGCAAGTTAACCACTCAAAAACAATACCAAACTTAATTAACACCCTTTCATGAGAAACCTGCCCAAATATCACAATAACCTAACCTTAACAATCACTTCTTCACCAGAGGAGTATGCGTCCATTAAAAGACGAGAGCAGCTAGCGCTGCTTCAGATCTTCCCTGACAAGGAGTGGATACAGGGAATACCTCCTTTCATTTTTGGTGACAGGAAACACAGTAAATAGTAAAGCCGTTGTTGTGGTGAAAAAAGTGAGCAGAATCTGAAGAAGGTATGGCGATGCTACTGCAAAAGAAACAAAGCAAGAACAATAGGAAGAGATCCGTCTCTGTTTTGTATCAGCTGGAATAAGCATTCCAATTCACATGTCACACGTAAAACAGTACATAGAAGATGGAGAAGAGAAAAAAAATAAAAATTAACAAATTTCAAGATTCAACCGCAACAGATAGACGCTTCTCCGAATGAATAAAAGAAAATTTCCTTAATCAGAATCCTCACCAAAACGAACTCGACAGCGCCAAAACCTTTCAAACGCGCAAAAGAGAGGGAAACTACAATTAGTATAAAAACAATAAATATCACATCACAACAACAACAACAACAACAACAACAACAACAACCATTTCTATCTTCACTTTCACAAATACTTTACTATCACTGCAATTTTTCTATCCTCCTGTTTGGTTGCCGAGAAAAAAAATAATCACTAAACTCAAAATCAGCGAAATTCAACTCAACAGAGTCGCGCTGTGAGTACTGACAGCACCTGTTACATCCAAATCGAGATGAGGTAAATCCGTCCGCAGTTTCGCCGTGGTTCAATTTTCTCGGAAACCAAACAGCAACAAAAAAAACAAAATAAAATAAGGAAAACGAATACCTCGAAACAAAACCATGACGACGAAGAAGAACAGCCTTTCACGAGTACGATCATCACCGGACACTAGCCGGAGGACTCATTTTCCGACAATGGCGAATCGAATAGAGTTCAGATCGGAAACCGAAAAAACAAAAAAAAAAATCCAAAAATCGCGAAGCAGAATCAGAACTGAGAAGAGAGGTTTTGCTGAAGCGAACGAAAACAGAACCAGAAATTGCTACACACACACTCACCCAAAGTGTTTAAGCGCGAGGAGCAATCTCAGCCACTATAATTTCGTGTGGATTTATTTTTTTTCTTTCAAAAATTAAGGACTCGTTATTTTTTTTTTTTGAGACGGAGAAGCCTTGGCTTATGAGAACATGACAAGTGGCGAAGATTTACTGGCTCTTGGTGCTGATGCTTACCTTTGCACTTTTCCTATTTTTTTTTTTCACTTTTATTTTATTTATTTTATTGAAACGAGTTTTTTAATCTTTTTCTTCTCTTCAATCTCATCCACAAACTCCATGGCTGAGGTTTCAGGTCCGTAAAAGCGTCGCCAGCTTTGTGACGGTGGGGCCCCCTGATAACGTGGCGAGGTCTACCGCTTCCTCTCGGTCATCCGGTTGTCCAACGTGTGGGCCTTTCCGCCCTAGTGGTGGAATTTTCGGCCAGCGTGGCCACTCGCTTTTCTCTCACCGGCACGTGGCGTTTCTTCTCGGGATTTACTGGTCGATATTCAATGAGTGCGTGGGGTTGACACGTGCACGTTTTTAGTGAGTGACAATGCGAGATACATGCACACTGTGATCAGCTGCGAACCTGTGCAGTTTTTTTTCATTCGAATAATTATTGTATCCTTTTTATTATGAAAAATATAATAAAAGTGTAGTTTTATTTTATTTGGAAAATGATACCAAATTAATATTTTTTTAACAAATTTATTTATTGTGCTTATATATTCTAGGAAGAACTTTTTTCCTCGTGGTTTTTTCATATCCAATCAAATGATGTTATATTCTTGGAAGAATAATCCCTCAAGATCATCGATGCATCATCCCGGCGAGTAAAAATTAAAATAAATCAAGTTGTGTGAAGAAAAATAACTGTACGCTTTTATTTTATTTTGGCTGTAAAAAATAGAGAAAAGAAAGAAAATATAAACGTTATAAGATTTACATACAAGTTTATATTGAGAAAAAATGAAAAATAAATGCCAAACAATTGATTTTTTTTATTCAAGTATATGTTGTTATATGAAAAGGACATAAAAAATAAATACAATTTCATTTTTCATTTTCAAATCTTATCAATAAAATAATTTCTTACTTTTTTTTCTCTTTTTTACTTTATATGTTTGAATGAAACCTAATAATGTAGAAAAACAATTTTAGCACATAAAAAATTCCCAAACAACAAATGAGAAACATCTAACCCCAAAATTTGACAAATACTGTGGAAAAATAATTTTAACACAACAAAAAACCGCAAATAACAAATAAAGAAAAAGTGTCCCGGAAATTGAATTAAATATTAGACTTGAATATTTTTTTATACCTTAAAATGCACTTACACTTCGATTTTGATTTCTATAAAAAAAATATTTTTATATTTTAAAAAATTATTGATTTTTTTTCTTTTAATTATATGACTGTACAAAAAGTAATATATAACACAAAATTATATACAATAATATATAAATTAGTCAAAGTAGTCCTCCGTGACATTAGTGGTCTTAAAGAATGGGACCCACTGTAAGGTTATTAGGTCGGTGCACAATATAGGATCAGCACATTTATTATTTATCCTAAAGCATAATATGTGTTTATATATGTTTTAATTTTATCATAATTTGAGTACGAATTGAAAATAAAATTTATTTAGTGTGGATTATTGGATTGTAAGGGCCAGAGAGAGCGTATGAGCAGCAGAGAAAGAGGATGATAAAATGTTTATTTTAACCCATATATTTATTTTATCTAATCACATGCTCATATATTTAACTCAGGTGTATATTTCTAATAAATTTAATAATTTAGTTGTTGTCTTGTTAATTTTTTTCTCTACTTCAAAAAAATTTAAAATATTTTTATTATATATTAAGATATTTCATATTAATTTAAAAAATATTAAAATATTATTTATAAAACTTTTACGTGTCTCTTATTACGGGTTAAATATAAATTTTTAATATTTTAAAAAATCTTAAACAACTATAAAAAAAATAATTAAAAATGAAAGAGAAGCGAATGAGTATTAAAGAAATCTAAAAATATCTATTTTTATTTTTAACTTAAGCAAAAATTAATTCGTTTAAATAAAAATACATAAAATAACAACAAAAAATTATATAAAATTAACTTAAGCAAATTTTTATAAATTTACTTAAGTTAATTATTCTATTTTAATCAAAATTTACCTCTTCTCCTTATGTCTAATACTCTTTCCTTAACTTTTTTTTCTCCCCATCTCACTCTCACCCTACCCTATAGTTATCTCAATCTTTTTTTCTATATCTAACTTTTCACCCTCCTCTCCTTCCACCATCATTCTTATACCATTCACTTTTTTTATTTTCGTCTATTTTCAGTCATCTCTTTCTCTCATAACTAGTTTCTATATTTTTGTAAATTTGTTTAAGTCAAAAAAAATTTGTTTAAATTAATTTTGCATAATTTTTTTTTATATTTTATACATTTTTTTAAACGAGTCTATTTTTATTTAAGCAAAAATAAAATTAGATATCCAGTTTTTGCCACGAATAAAAGGAATCCGAATCCATTAAGGGAAGGGTTGAACTTGTCTTATCTTCGATAAATAGATGGATGCAAATTTAAAGGATTTATTAAAATATGTGTGTATGTTAAAACAAAATGGATGTAAGTGGTTATGGTTATGGCTGTTGTTCATCTCCTCTCGTCACGGGTATCAACAGTGAACACTATGCCAAAAGTGCAAGTGGAAAAGGACTATTCACATACGTGATTTCTTTCTTTTTTGCTCATTTTCTCTTTTCAACAATACTAGTTATTGGTGATAGGAGTGGAGAGCCCAATTTATGTATGGGCTTCAATTGTCACAATAGATGACCCAAATTGGAGAACAATCTTTTAACACTGAATTTACAATAAAGAAATGCAATTATTGATCCATGGTGTAGGTTGAGGCCTTCATCAACCTCGTTGTATTTTGTGTTTCTTCCTATATATTTTTTAAGGCTTTCATAGATAAAAGGGAAATTTAATGTTTATCTACGAAGTTAGCGTTCTGTGCGTTTTATTTCTCTATCTTGGGTTCTCGGGGGACATGTGTATGTTTAGTTTTGAGCTTTTGATTTGGGCTTTTCTTATGATAAATTCCACTCACTGGACCCAAAATAAAAAAAGATAAACGGATTTGTTATCCTCACAAGTCACATAAGATTATTTTAATGAATATTAACTTATTATATTAAATAAGTGTATAATATGTTTAAGTTTATATATACATACATAGAAAGTGTAATTAAAGTAATAATTCACATGGGTAAATTTTTTTTACCCTTTTAAGATCCAAGAAAAAATTTAAAAATATATATGAAATTGAAAATATATTATTAAACTAATATCAAAATTAAGTTCATAAAAAATATAATAAAATTTATCCCATCATTAATAATTATTTTTTAAATGGATAACTCTTAAAAAAACTTAAAATTTGATTTTAAAAAATTAAAACAAAATATATGAATCAAGACAAGTCATCAATAAGACTACTAATCTAATATGATATATTAAAAACAAGATCAATTTAACCAGAGATATTCAAAAGATATAAAATGTAAAAAATAAGATGCAATATGTTTAATGTTAGAAAAGTTACGTAACTTATTAAAAAGTGAATTAATCATAAAAATGTCTAATTTCGCTTCATAATTAAAAATGAACTATGTTTATAAATTGTACCAAATGTTAGAAATATAGGTTTAATATTAATAGATTGTTAGCATATTTTAATCACCATACATTAAAATATACAATAATTATAAATTTTAAATCAATTATTACAAAAAATATTAGTATAATAATCCATAATTTTATATGTATTGCCAACATTTTAATGAATTCTAAAATAATATCTATAATATTTTAAAAAAAATCTTTAAGTAAAAATGCACACACATGTGTTATCATGGTCTCACATATGCATATCTTTAACAGAGGAAAAATCAAAAGAGAAATAAAAGTTAGAATATTAAATAGGAGAGTTTCTAAATGAGACGAGTATAATTTGTAAAAAATATTTTTTTTAATTTTAGAATAGTCAATAGATAATGTTCACTTTATTGGAGGTGAGGTGAGTTAGGTGGTGCTCATCTACTTGCATTTTGATGGGAAGCAAGTACAACTACCACCTCACATTGAATTGACTCTTATCGACAGAAAAGGAATAAAGAAAACTATTAAGATATCTTTATCATAAAATTCAATACGCTCATTGGTAAGATTCAAAAAGGAAAATGGTAGGATTCAAAGAATGCACCACGGAAATCACTGGTTGAAGATGAACCTGAACGTAGGAATGATGATTAATTATATCAACAAGTTGAACATTGATATATGAATGTTGAATTAATGATGCATTTGGCCGAAAGAAGCACATTTCCTTTGAAAAAGAGGCTTAATGGAAGCTCAATTTTGTTAAGCAGTTTCAGATTCATTATTGATTCAAAATTAAACGCTGCTATATAGGACATGGCATCTGTTGCTTAGCTTAAAAATAGCAACAAATGGCGTCATCTTTCAGATCAACAGAAAAGGTGATGTCCTTCTGAATATGATAAGGGTCCATAGTCGGCACCAAGAAAAGAAATTTGAAAACCAGAGACAACAAACTAATGCAAATGGGGACCACTTAATTAATGCAACAACCCACCTACCGCTTCACTCATGACAACATCATTTTGTTTCAGCTTCATTGCTATATAATTAATTTAGTTATAGACCATAAATTTATATTTATTTCAAAAATATTTACAATATTAAATAGTTAAATTAGTTTGTAATATATTAAATAAAAAATATATCTATTTTTATAGATAAAATTTGGATACCTTGTTAATATAAATATTGTAACAAGTAAGTTAACAATTCGTGTATTCATAAAACTATTTATTTTTTATACATAAGATAAAAACAATAGTTTATAATCTCTACATTTTTTTTAATTTATGTTGATACTTTTATATATAATTGAATTTATGATATAAATTTT